CGTCCCGGCGTCGCCAACGCCGGCGCCAAGCCCGCCCCCGCCCCCGCCCCCGCGCTCAGCACTCGCAGATCCGATGACGCGACTATAGGCGACTACGTCAGGCTCCTCTGTTTTATCAATACCGGTGACTTGTTCCATTCATGACTTGTCTCCAAAAAAACAGTGGAAGTTCCGAAGAGAGTATATTCTAGTGCACTCTGACTATTTCATATACGGACTCATTTCAAAACATTGCAAACATCCACAACGTTTATCTATTATTTTCTTTCGTTGAATTTGATCACGAGTTATGGTAACCCATTTTCTAATTATCGACGGAGGAAAATTGTTCTGACGTATGACCTAAGATTTAGCTTGAAGCTAAACTTTCGAAGTATTTTTTGCCATCAGATCAACGAACACAAATATCACTACGTATAGGTTGTCCTTAAAAGGATGCCTTCCCATTAACCTTTTAAAGTCCAATGACCCTAATTAGGAACATACTTCAAATCAATTATACAAAATATAGTTTTCTAATATCCAAATAATCTGCATCTATGTTCTTTTATATAACACTGGAAATTAATTTTTAGATCAATATTAATGCACATTTTATAGTTTTTTCTACAGAGCTAATTTTTAAAATGCTTCAATTTTCCAAATTGAAGACACCCCTGTCCATTTGGCCTTTTCGAAAATTTCAAATGTTTGAATTTTTTGTGTCTTCCTAGAAAATTTAAGATAGAATTTGTTCCTGGAAATGTAATTTGCTGTCCATAATTTGTTCTTCCAAGAGCGTCAGGTACATTTTTTTAAAAAAAAATTAGCCCACAATTATGTGCAATTTTAAAAAAGTACAAAAAATGCATTTTCTCAAAACGACTCCAATTTTTTTAAAAAAAAATTGGTTGGTATTGGCCTAAATGCACTCTAAAAGTTGACATAAAATCCATAATGTTCTATCCTTTTGTTTTTTCAAAAAGTAGAAAACTTTAATTTTTTTACAAAAATTTAATTTTTTAGACTTGTTTCTTACGTCGCTAATATTTACATTAGCGGCCATTTGTTTACATTATCATATTTATGAGTACAGGTGCTTTAAAAATGTCAGATAAAGCTCCTTGAAAACTCAACAATTTTTTGTTGAAACTAGTTCAACAACTTCAATGTCTTCAAACTTTTTCTTTAATCTTTTCGAAAGAATAGTGCTAATTCCATTCTTTAATTTGGTATATTTTTTGTTTTTTCGAAAATTTCACAAATGTACAACAAAATTGTAATTAATTGTAATTAACAAATGAGATATCTAACACGCCATAAATAAGCACATTTACAGCAATTTTGTAAACACTATTGTTGTGCGTGAAGGGCATGACTTCAAATGAATTTGTTTTTAAACTGAAAACTTTTGTGTAAAAGTGCTTCATATTTCAAATTTACTCTACCTTTAAAGCGCCAGCTTCTTAAAAGCGGCTCGAAATTATCAAAGAAAATTGCCATTTAGGACATGGTTTACTATTCTTTAATACTCTTGAAATAATATTTCCGTTCTATTATTAGAAAACCGAAAAATGAAAATTTCTAAGAACATGCAGTTTAGGCGGCGATAGATTGCAGCTGGCAAGATGTGACAGGTTCGTATAGGTAGCCGAGACCAGAGGAAATAGAAAACTAATACTGCAAAGTCTGTGTCATTCCGTAATGCAACTTGTTTAGATATTCACTAGATAATGAGAAATAATACAACCTTGCCCAAGAAAAAACAGATTTGTAATACTACAACAATCTGACAGTTTTTACGGTTGTTTCCAATTGGGAATATTAGCGACTTCTCGCTCTTGAAAGACGCGCAGTTTTAGCAGTAGCTGTTTCTCCGTGAATCAATGGCGTCTTTATGTATTCCATCTTCTCCGTTTTATCGGGCTTTATGTAATCTAATCGCTGAAGCATCGTGTTCTTTTAGCCTAGTTGCCGCTCTTACAATCTGATTTTTCAGTTCATTAACTTTTTAATTGTATTGAATAATATTTATGTGTACTTGTGCGGTACGTATGTAAGTAATTTTGTCTTTGTTAACTGCCTTGAATGTGTAATGAAAAAACATTTAAATCTGCAGAAGGAGCTGTGGCTTACCTTTCGGCCTTGAAAGACTCCGATTTGTCAGGTCTTTTTGACGACCTGTAACTTGTCAGCTTCCCCTGAAGGAAATGATCGTCTTACTGATCAAGAAGATATCGATGATAATGCTCTGAGTCCTATCGTATGTTCTAATGTTTATGGATACGTGGATGTAATTGTACCTTCAAAGAGTTCGTCGTATAATGAAACCATTGAATTTAGTCGAAATTGACCAAAATATCTTCAAATTAACATAAATCGATAAAAAAAAGAAACAACAAAACAAAACAAAAAAACACGCTTCATTTGGCTACTACAAAAGTAGATTGCCGAATTTCAAAAATGCTCTAGGAAATGAACGTATTTAAGGACTTCGTAAAACATTTTCTGAAATAATAGAGGCTGAACCTACTGTTATTTTCATGAAGTTTATATCCCAGGTGTATATGAGCTACTTAGCCATGATTTATACAGCACAACATGAAACTAACTTGTAGACAGATTTGAAAGAAATAGCTAAGTTTTTTTTTTTTTGATTTAGATTGCGAAGTTCTGAAATTGAAATATTCAGGGAACTTTTTTTGAGACCTTTTTTGACAAAAGTTGTATATTAGTTGTGATGTTGAAGAGAGGCATTTCCCAGAATTCTTAATATCATTTCTGGTTAGAAGGCGTGGTAAAGTTATGCATTTCTGTGGATGTTACCTCCCTCTTTAAACAGCCGAGAGGCAGTGGATCTCATACAGCATTAGCATGCAACCTTCCTAGTAGTGGAAAATACTCAGTGCTTCAGCATCAAGCAACATGAACCAAGAACAATGGCGGTTCAGAGAGCAATTCAAATTTACGACTTTTGAAATTAAAGCATTGAATTTGTACAGCTAATATCATCAGTTGCTTGATTTAATCGTCATTACATAATATTTTCTAAAATAATAAAATATTTTTGATTTTTTTGACAAATTGCACCAAAATTTGATCAATTCAAATTGCACCACCAATTTGAATTGAAATAATATACTTTCCAGATTGTTTGTTTTATGATAGAAGAAAAACGCTAGGGAAACTAAATTGAGCGATGTTAGAAGCTCTGTAGTGACCAACTGAGGGATTTCCGCCTGCTCCGGTTCCATTGACTTCGCTTCCGCCCTTGCGCAGCGTCTGTCACTTGAGCGTAGGCACACAGTGTTCGTCTGCATCCAGTTGCGGCGTAGTATGTACCCGGAACTTACACAAAGAGTGGTCGGACTTCCTTTGTAAATGTACTTTTATGTATTTAAGACCTACATATTCAGCCTCCTAGTTACTCTGAAAGCATACGATGTATTTAATTTCTATTGCAGCAAGTGTGGTATTCAATTATAGTATTATTCTACATGAAGATAAATCCATAGTTTTTATCAAAGATTATTTTCCAGATTATATATAAGACCATCTGGATTACTATCTGAATACAGATTGTTTAGATGATTGAATCAATATTTCTAATATAATCTACTTTGCGAAACAGTTTGGAACTAAGTTTTTAGATGTATGGAAATCTCATATTTTGAGTTTCCTTACGGGGATTTGTTTATTAAATTGTGTCTAGAAAGTTGAAAATTACATTTATTTTATATTATGTGCTAATTATAATGAACTTACTACTAAAAGGGCTAATTAAATAAATCAATTTAATTTAAAATAACAAAATACACCATTTAAATAAATTATAAGCCGACCTATATTTTTAAAAGAGATCACAGATAATTAAAAACGTATTTTCCCTTGTCCCCCTAATATTTTTCAGAGGTTCAGCCTTTTGTTTTCAGAGGGTATAGTTATTACAGTCATTTATTTTACCTAAATTAGGCCGAAAAGATACCTTAATTTTTGCTAAAATAGGCATGCAAAAAGGCGTTTATTCTGGCTGATGCAAAGGTACAAAAAGCCATGTAAATCATGAAAAACTACCATTTAAAAGAAATTATTCAAAAGAATTGACAATTTATGTGATTTGCATTTTTATTCTAAATTTTGCATTAGTACTAACGGGGAAGGACACGATAATTTCTTTATAACATTGATTGTACGAGACCACCCAGACACACCAGTCAGGCGATGACTACACATTTGAATTTCTCGCGCGCTATCTCGGCAAAGTTCCATTCTGGACTTCCTTTTACATATTCAAATAACGTGAGTGAAAACGGCGTAATAATTTTCGTTCTTCGTACTCGTGTATCATCAGCATTGAGAACAGTGCACCATATACAGAGAGCTCTCTGCTCAAAATTGATCAGAGGCCGTACTCAAATATTAGGAGAGTATTCATTGTGAGTGAACAAAGCTTGATGACATCAATGACAATCTATTAAAACAACTCCAGAGGTACAATTAAGTAATTCCTACGGTTAAAAGTCATGAAATTGTAACAATAAACCTGTATTTTGCCACACTTCCGGGATCTATTACATAACATAACACCTGGGTGTACAGCAGAATATGTCCTTGTCAGGATTTCTTAATATTTTGTTACTTGGTTGTGTATAGGCGAATTGGATTTGCATACCCTTGTGTGTGAGGGCAGTGGCAATGCCATGACGTAGTGTGTCGTGTGCCTGCAGCGGCGGAGCCGGCGTGCGCGTGGTGCGGGAAGCCCTGCCGCGCGTCGCAGCTCTTCTCCCTGCGCACGCCCACAGGCCAGAAGGCCTTTTGCTCGGAGGTGTGCTTCACGCAGTGCCGGCGCGCCAACTTCAAGCGCAACAAGACGTGCGACTGGTGCCGACACGTGCGCCACACGGTCAACTACGTCGACTTCCAGGACGGCGAGCACCAGCTGCAGTTCTGCAGGTACTGGCCCTTGCTTGCCCTCAACTATTTTTCTCCTTCAAGGGATTAACTGTCGCTCTGCAAGTGGTGGTGTACCTCCCCACTGGGTGTAGAAATAAGCGCCCACTCACGTCGGCTTCCGGGGGATTTCCCCCAAACAGGGCACTGCCTCAGCCGCCACAAGTTCTAATCTCCTGATAGGTGCATTGACACGTGTAGTATTGTAATGCACGTAAGTGTGTATGTGGTGTAAATACGGGGATATGATACAATGAGAGAAATGTTTTAATACAATGCACTAAACATGTTTAGTAAGCGATCATATAGTAAATTCAATTATTCGTGTAGTAAGATTCACTAATCGTGATTTAGTTTCTTTTAATAAATCTGTCAATTGAAAATCGTAAGTGAATAGACAAAGAGAATTCGCAGTACTACTCTTGTTTTCTGAATACAATCAATTATTGAGAACTACGATTCATGTCATCTGTAGAGCACTTAATACTCTAAGAGCACTCAAATAGGCACGTAAAAACTTAAAACTATGCAGGGAAATGGTCATTACAATTGAAAATAGGCAGGGATATGGGCGTTGTTGATGAAAAAAGCAACAAAAACTGCCTCAATAAGCAAATTAAAATATTTAATTTTCAAATGTAATTTTGTAAAGAATTGGTTAAACATTGAACATTCAAGTTTTGAAAATGGAACGTACAGCGCTTGCAATAGTCATTGTTGATTTTTTTCTTGCCTTCATTTTCTGACTGCACTTGCTGAAGAAAGGTTTGAATAATTTTTCTTACTTTTCTCGCATTCTTTCGTGAGTTCCAGGTTATTATTTTGTGTTGTAAGGTATGCTATTTTGGTTCTTTTGGCATAGATTTTCAGCTTTTCACAAAAGTGGCAAAAAACTGCATTTCCGTTCGTCGTGCATCATCTTTTTCCTCGGATCCACTCTTTTGACAATACTCTTCTTGATGCTTTTTCTTTTGGCATTATAGCAACCATGCATAACTGGAACAGCAAACGTTTGGATCTGGCACGTATTGTACTTCGAAACCAATACAAAGTTATTGTCGGAGGAAACTTCGCTCATCATGTGCAATTCTACCTTCTCAAAGCGAATGACACCTGGAGCGCCAAGCGTGAAGGCATCCTTGTGTTGTTGACAAGGAACAGATCGCTCACTAATCATTGCTCACATCGAAAAGAGGAGAGCAATTTCCCATTCTCTACCCTGCCCTGATCGCCCTGACGGTCTTCGGTGAAGTAGATAAGCGTTTCAGCGTGGTGTCAAATTCGCATACGTCTGCAACCGGTGTCCCTGCTCGTTGCGTCGCAGGCAAAAACACATTGGTCATTAAGATTCTCGACCGGACGACGCCTGGGAAGATTTTATGCGGTTACTGTTTTATTAAAACATTATAAACAGTGATTTCTCCAAAATTGTAGAAATCAAAATATAAAGAACAAAACATATTTTAAAAAATTCTGCTTATTCCATAAAGTCACGTAGTAGTCACGTCGTAGACTCTTAACGCTTGACGAAGAAGACTTTAAACGCATTAACTCTTTCAAACGAATCGTCTAGAATTCAATACGGTATTTACAGTATGGTTTATTCCTTTTAGGGGAAGGGAAATGTCTACTATTACCGTACGTTTAAAAGCTAAATAGCAACATAAAAAAGGCGATAAGAAATGCAAAAGGTCTTGAAAATCGAAACACTGAATGAAGAAAAGAATTCACTTGCGAAACACACGAAAGATCAAACACAACAGACAGAGAGGAATAGTGGGGCCTACTCCCTACGTTGTGAAGACTGTAATTTGGAATATGTGGGACAAACTAAGAGAAAACTGAAAGTTAAAATTAATGAGCACAGAAGAAACATTTTGGAAGAACCCAATATGCAAAACTCTATTTCCAAGCACAAGTTAGATCTAAACCATCAAATGGAATTCAATGATTCAAAGATTCTAGCAGTTTCTAGAAGGCACAAAGATAGAATAATATTGGAAACGTTACATATTAAAATTCCGTAGACCATGAATTCAATGACAGAACTAGTCATTTACACACAACTATGATAATATAAACTCACGGTTCGAAGTCACTTCTAATCTGGTTCCCGAACATAACTGTGTCACTTAGCAAGATAACTGTTCGTGAAAAATAGGTGAGCTCAATTTTCTCAACACAATAGTTTAAAGTGATTCTTCTCTAGAAATGGCTTTATAAATTTCAAAAACATTCAAAAAATGTAAAATAAACAACAAAAAACGTTTAGGCATTTTAAACAATGTGTAAGCTTCCCCGGCGGGTAAGTACAAACCCGCGGGTAAGTACAACAATGAGATATCTTCTGTTGAACCTTAGAAACATGTTGTATGGGAAAAAAGTAAGTTATACACATAGGATGAATTGTAGTATTTCATTAGACCTGAAGATGGATGTGTAAAAGCTCTCGAAACAACGTTGAATGCTCGGAAAGTATAAACGTAAGATTAAATTTGAATTGATATGAAATGAAATAATTGAAATAAATGTCTGATGTGTAAAATTGTAAAGGGAACTGTTCTTATTAGAAATAAGAGACAGTATAAAATGGTATATAAACAGAATTTACCGTTGTACGATAAAGTAGATATAAATATAGTCCTTGATAAAACAAATTCTACTCAAACCATGGCTGGAAAAAAAGAATCGCAGAGCTTTGTCAAGAGAACTATTCCTTTCGTGATTCCTTTTTGTTTTAATGGTTTCCAAACTATCGGATTATCTCCAAGATCCTTTGTGATGACTGTTGTGTAATTTAATTATTTATATGTGAAATCATTCTTAGTAAGGGCTTTCAAAATTAAACTTGCTTAACTTTGTCATTTCAGTGGTTCTTTGTATTTGGTTGTCTGTAGAGACGTTATTAAGAACAAACGATTCACTATGATTCACCATAAACTGAAATAATTTCACTTACCTTTTATCTTACCTGAAGTAGTAAAAAATTATTTCTGTGTGAAATCCTTTTCAGTAACACTGTAGTTTTCATTTTCTTCAGTTCTTATGAGGTATTAACGATTTACGTCATAACTGTGTAAAATGGAAACAATGATGTTCGAAATAGAAGACACTAATTTAAATACAAACATGCCTAACAGAAGAGACGTATTTTAAAAATACCTACTTTCACCTAATGAACGGCAGAATACTTTTATCTTCTTACCGATAATTTGTAAGTAATATTACTTATAAGTAATACTGAGTAACACATACGCAATGAAATGTTAGGTTGAATCCATTCTTTACTTTAAAACGAAAAAAATTCATAAAATAAATATTAACACAATAAATACAAAAAAGTTGCCAATGGAATATCAACGAATAGACACTAATCCAAGTTGAGTTGACTTAAAAGAATTAATTGAATCTAATGTGGAACATCTGTATAAAGGGATTTTCATTCTTCCAAGCAGTTCAGGGTACATGGACGCAGTTCAGGGTACATGGAGTATTCAACTTTCAAAGTCGTATATTGTAGATCTGAGTTGTCGGATAAATCAAGAGAAAAAAATTAATGTTATGTAGCAATTAAAATGATAAGTTTGTTACTTAAGTGTTCTTCTATTATGAGAGTGCTGGTGACTCACTTAAGAACATGCCACATAATTGTTCAAATAATAATTTTTTTCTGGAATCTCTTCATTGAAATGTATTAAATAATTGACCTATGTATTGAATTCAAACATGCAAATCTTAGGGGAACGTGTCATTTTCCTGTTGCAGCGACAAATGCCTGAATCAGTACAAAATGAATATCTTCTGCAAGGAGACGCAGGCGCACCTTCAACTGCACCCGCACCTGCAGGACGGCACCGGCGCCGGCGGCAGCGGCGGCCTCATCACGCCCGATCTCTGGCTGCGCGACTGCCGCTCGTCGTCGCCCGCCTCCGACCGCTCGGCGTCGCCCGGGCCGCCCTCGGGGCCGCTACCGCCCAGAGCAGAGATGCGATGGGAATCGGAATGGGCACGGCAGGATGATGGGGGTAGGGCACATGACGGGTGATGGGTGGCAGCAGCGGTAGGCGCGGCCGGCAGGGCGCTGCGGCGGCGCGGGCGGGCGGCGGAGCACTCGGCGGCTGTGCGGGTGTCCAGGTGCGGCGGCGGCGGCAGCAGCGGGCGGGCGGCGCCGGGGCGACTTGGGGCCTGCCGTCTGGGGGGGCGGAGGGCGGGGGCGGCGGGGCGGCGGGTGGTGGAGGGGGCGGGGCCCGATGGGGCCGCAAGCAGAGGGAAGCGCGCGCGGTGCGCGTGTCGCGGCGGCGGCGGCCGCGCGCGGCGAAGAGGTGCGCGGGCGGCGCAGGAGGCGGGGGCAGGAAGGGCGGCGCCGGCGGGGCGGCGGGCCGTGGCCGTGGCCGTGCGCGTGGCCGCCGCCGCCGCCGCCAGCCAGGTGCGGGAGGCGGTCCCGCAGCGTGCAGCGGCCGCTGGGCAGGCTGCGCGGCGGAGGTTGCGGGGCGCGCGGCGGGAGCGCTGCTGCCGCCGCGCTGCGGAGCGCGGAGGCGGCCGCGGCGGCGCGCAACTCCGGCCGGCCACCGCCGCCGCAGCCGCCGCCCCGCCGCTGCCCCGGCGGCTGGCACCTGCGCTAGCGCCCGGGGTTGGGCGTGGGCGCGGACGCCGCGCAGCGGACGCGTGGCAGGCGCTTGGTCGCGAGACGCGCCGCAGGCTTCGGCCGCGCTCGGCCGCGCGGCGCCGCGCCGCCGCCGGCCACCGCCGCGCCGCCGTTCGATGGGCCGAAGGCGGGGGGGCGGCGGGCTGGGCGCTGGCGGCGCGGGCCGGGGGTCGGGGCGGGCGAGT